GTCAGCCAGACTCAAGACCACCTCCGGTTACCCCAAACTCTTCTTTCTTTTCAGTCTTTCATTTCAGTCTCAAGCTAGTCACACAGAGATTAGCTCTGCGTTCAGCCCTGTTTTCTGTCCCCTTTGGGGTCTGAAAGGCGGATGTTTCTTTAGCATTTTAGCTGTTAGCTCAGGGTTCAAAAAGCTGGTTACCCCAAACTCTTCTTTCCTTTCAGTCTCAAGCCAGTAAATCAGAGTAAAATCGTTTAGCTCTGCGTTCAGCCCCGTTTTCTGTCCCCTTTGGGGTCTGAAAGCCTGATGTTTCTTTAGCTTTTTAGCTGTTAGCTCAGGGTTTGAAATGCATGCTTAATAGTATGTTAGCCCGTTAGCCCGTCGTGCGCTCAGCTCTGTGGGGTCAGACGGGTTGGAAAATGGAGTTTTTATATCAAGTACACGCAAAATAAACAGGGAGTCAACAAAATCCATCCCACAAGCTGCTGCTCAACAAGTGAGTCAGCCAGAAGAGAACCTCCGGTTACCCCAAACTCTTCTTTCCTTTCAGTCTTTCCAGACTCAAGCCAGTAAATCAGAGAAAAATCGTTTAGCTCTGCGTTCAGCTCCGTTTTCTGTCCCCTTTGGGGTCTGAAAGGCGGATGTTTCTTTAGCTTTTTAGTTGTTAGCGCAGGGTTAAAAATGACTGTGCATGCTTTATTGTATGTTAGCCCATTAGCCCGTTAGCCCGTCGTGCGCTCAGCTCCGTGGGGTCGGACGGATTGAAAAAAAGATTGAAAAAAAACTCTGCAGAGAGTCTAGAGTTCACTGAGTCTTTAACAAGTGAGTCAGCCAGACTCAAGACCACCTCCGGTTACCCCAAACTCTTCTTTCCTTTCAGTCTTTCCAGTCTCAAGCCAGTCACACAGAGTATAATCGTTTAGCTCTGCGTTCAGCCCCGTTTTCTGTCCCCTTTGGGGTCTGAAAGGCGGATGTTTCTTTAGCATTTTAGCTGTTAGCTCAGGGTTCAAAATGCATGCTTAATAGTATGTTAGCCCGTTAGCCCGTCGTGTGCTCAGCTCTGTGGGGTCGGACGGGTTGGAAAATTAAGTTTTTATGTCAAGTACATGCAAAATAAACAGAGAGTCAACAAAATCCATCCCACAAGCTGCTGCTCAACAAGTGAGTCGCCAGCAGAAAACCCCAAACTTTTCTTTCTTTTCAGTCTTTCCAGTCTCAAGCCAGTAAATCAGAGTAAAATCGTTTAGCTCTGCGTTCAGCTCCGTTTTCTGTCCCCTTTGGGGCTTGAAAGCCTGATGTTTCTTTAGCTTTTTAGCTGTTAGCTCAGGGTTCAAAATGCACGCTTTATTGTATGTTAGCCCGTTAGCCCGTCGTGTGCTCAGCTCTGTGGGGTCGGGCGGGTTGGAAAATTGAGTTTTTATATGAAATACATGCAACATAAACAGGGAATCAACAAAAAAACGAAGTTTTCGTTTTAAATCCATCGTCCCGCCATGTTATCTTGAATTTTATCATAATTTTCGTTCGAGGCATGACGTGGTGGCACCGCCATGCGAGAGGAACTGAAAACGTTTTAAATAATATTATATCATAGCACAAGGAGATCTGGTGACAGACAGTTTTCTGCATGCAGACAGAATAGTACCAATTGGGCTGCTTTTGGTCAGGGCTAACAACTTTTCAGAGTTGTAAACGACTTTTCTGAGTTTTTAACTTTTTAGAGCTGCTAACAACTTTCAGAGTTGCTAACAACTTTTCAGTCACTAACAACTTTTTAGTTAACAACTTTTCAGAGTTGCTAACTGCTTTTCACAACTTTCTAGAGTTGCTAACAGCTTTTCACAACTTTCTAGAGTTGCCGACCACTTTTTCAGAGTTGCTAACAACTTTTTTAGACTTGCCAACAACTTTTTTAGAATTGCTAACAACTTTTCAGAGTTGCTAACAACTTTTTTAGATTTGCTCACCACTTTTTTTAGAATTACTAACAACTTTTCAGAGTTGCTAGCAACTTTTCAGAGGGGGTGGTTGGATGTTAGAGGTTGGATTTCAAAGCTAACTCTGAGACAGACGGGTTCTGGAGATGGGAGTTTGGTTTTGGGATGGCGGAGGAAGATATCCAGCTGAGCCAGATGTGTTTTTGTGTCTTTAGCCCTGACGACTGGCAGTTCTACCCGTGCTACTTCGACTCTCTCTTCCACCTGAACGACCAGGCCTGGAGTCCCCCGGAGGAAGGAGAACAGTGAGTCCTGGGTGTGTTGCCGGGGGCGACGGCCGAAGCCAGACTATCCAGGCCCTGACGAGTGTGTGTGTGTGTGTGCGTGTGCGTGTGTGTTTGTGTCTTTGTGTCTGTGTGTGTGTGTCTCTGTGT